GAACCACTGGCCTGTTTTAGTCTTGTGTATTTTTTTTTTTTTTATTTTGGTTCATTTATATGTTTCGGAGTTTAGTGTGACGTCCATTTTCGCTGAACTATTATACATTATTGTTTAGGGGCCAGTTGAAGTCGGCTGCTGGAATTTTTGCTGTGTTGAAGACCAATTGGTGGCCTTAGGCTGTTTTCTGCTCTTTGGTCGGGTTGTTGTTTCTTTGACGCATTCCCGTTTCCATTCTCAATTTTATAGTATTTGATTTAGCATCTACAAACCTTTTTCCTAGCAAAAAAATGTTTTTGTAACTTTGACTGACCTTAGATAAAATACCTCAAAATCTAAAGGTCTTCCTCTCATTTTAAGTGACCATATATCTCAGTAAGGTTGCAATTAGATTTTAAAAAATTTGAATTACAATGCAGAATCTAGTTTTCAGCACAAACTGCAATAATTGAGGGTCATATAGTCACTTAAACTAGACCTAGGACAATGACCTTCTAATCAATAGGGATCTTTGTCTTATCATATGTGACCATGTTTCCAAGTAAGGTCACAATCTGATATAATATATTTGATTTTAGACCGATCTTCCTGTTGTTATGTTTGACCATAACTCCAAGTAAGGTTGCAATCGGATATGAAATACATGTATTTGGTTTGGCACATGGAAAGCACTTTTTTGCACAATGGGACAAATGTTGGTCTATTTTCATTACTATGACCTTGACTTTAGACACAGTAAACTCCAAATCTATAAGGATCTTCCTCTCATACTTGACCATATACTTAACTAAGGTTGCAACCTTTTCTTAAATAGTACCTATTTCCTTATTTTTAAAGGGAACTATCAATAGTACTATTCAACAAAAATTGGTCAGATTATTTTCCATTCAAGATAAGGTAAGGGAAACCTTCATAATATAACAAGTCGCGATGTTTAAACTTATTTTGCATATAAAATTAAACAGTATGAAATCAAAAAGCGAGACATATGGATAGTGATCCGACACTGGCAGCGTTTACTAATAACTTAAAAGCTTCATATTTCAGAAGCTAGAAGACCTGGATGCTTCATACTTTGTATATAGATGCCTTATGTTATGAAGTTATTGTCTGTCATATGTCCATTGTCTTTGAACTCATTTTTATGGTTCAGTGTCTACTAAAAAAAAGTTAAGATTCTTTGAAATGTTAATTTCTCTCTTATTATGAGTAATAGGATAACTATATTTGGTATGTGCATATCTTGCAAAGTCTTCATGTCTGTCAAGAGTTTTTACTTGACCTCAACCTCATATCATGGATCAGTGAACAAGGTTAATTTTGTTTGTGGTAAAGTCCAGATCTCAGATACTATAAGCAATAGGTCTCCTATATTTGGTGTATGTAATGATTGTAAGGTGAACATGTCCAACTGGCGGGTGTCATCTGACCTTGATATTCCTTTCATGGTTCATTGTACAATGTTTAGTTTTTGTGGTTTGGTCTATTTCACAGATATAAGCAAAAGGTCAATTATATTTGGTGTACGAAAAAATTAAAATCACAAAAATACTGAACTCCAAGGAAAATTCAAAAAGGAAAGTCCCTAATCAAATGGCAAAATCAAAAACGATTGTAGGACGTACATGTCTGTCTGGCAGGGTTCATATGACCTTGACCTCATTTTCATGGTTCATTGGTCATTGATAAGTTTTTGTCGAGCCTGCAACTTCTGTCGCAGAAAGCAAGACATAGGGATAGTCAGAGGATGGCAGCAATAACAATCTTCTTACAAGCTTAATATTTCAGATGCTAGAAGACCTGGATGCTTCATACTTTGTATATAGATACCTTATGATATGAAGTTTCCTTCTGTCATATGTCCATCTTCCTTGACCTCATTTTCATGGTTCAGGCACTACTTGAAAAAAAGTTAAGATTTTTAATATTCTTAATTTCTCTTTTATTATGAGTAATTAGATTACTATATTAGGTATGTGCGTACCTTGCAAGGTCCTCATGTAAGGCGTATATGTCTGTCTGGCAGTTATTAGCATGTTGTTGGCATGACACGGGTTATGTTCTTCTCATATATGTTATGATGGTATGATACTAAACCCCTAACGGGAAGGATTGTGCCTGATATTCATATGATGAAGACATAATCTTTCAATCAGTTTAATTGAAGTCTGGAGCTGGCATGTCAGTTAACTGCTAGTAGTCTGTTGTTATTTATGTATTATTGTCATTTTGTTTATTTTCTTTGGTTACATCTTCTGACATCAGACTCGGACTTCTCTTGAACTGAATTTTAATGTGCGTATTGTTATGCGTTTACTTTTCTACATTGGCTAGAGGTATAGGGGGAGGGTTGAGATCTCATAAACATGTTTAACCCCGCCGCATTTTTGCGCCTGTCCCAAGTCAGGAGCCTCTAGCCTTTGTTAGTCTTGTATTATTATTAATTTTTGTTTCTTGTGTACAATTTGGAGTTTAGTATGGCGTTCATTATCACTGAACTAGTATATATATTTGTTTAGGGGCCAGCTGAAGGACGCCTCCGGGTGCGGGAATTTCTCGCTGCATTGAAGACCTGTTGGTGACCTTCTGCTGTTGTCTGTTCTATGGTCGGGTTGTTCTCTTTGATACATTCCCCATTTCCACTCTCAATTTTATTATCTGACCTTGACCTCATTTTCTTGGTTCAGTGGTCAATGTTTAGTTTTCCTGGTTAAGTTTGCTTCTTAGATACTATATGCAATAGGTCAACTATATCTAAAGCATGTAATGATTGCAAGGTGTACATGTCTGTCTGGCAGGGTTCATCTGACCTTGACCTCATTTTCATGGTTCATTGATCAATGTTAAGTTTTCATGGTTTGGTCTGTTTCTTGTATATTATAAGCAATAGGTCAGCTATATTTGGTGTTTGGAATGATTTTAAGGTGTACATGTATTCCTGGCTTGGTTTATCTGACCTTGACTCATTTTCTTGGATCATTGTTTAATGTTAATATTTTGTGGTTTGAAATGTTTCTCAGGTACGATTAGCGACAGTAAAACTATACAGTCGACTCTCTTTATCTCAAAGTCAGTCATACCAGAGAACTATTTCGAGATACCTGTAGTTCCACTCAAACAACTACTGGAAGTTTGACAGACTAAGGGATACCACTCTTGCTTAGCTTAGTAAGGCTAAAATAAATCCTGATGAACATGGATAGGGGATCAATATTCTGGTCCGAGATCTATGTATCTGTATGTAATGTTCTTTTATTATTATAATAATATTATATTATTTTTTGTCTTTTTTATTTATTTCTTTGTACACTTACAATTTTTTCCTGTAGTTTTTAGCCAAAAGAGTAATTTCCAATCGATCTTAGCGTGATTTAAAGTTGAGAAATTTTTCATTCTCGTATACAAGTGATTTTAGAAAATTTAGATTTCTTTTCATTTTCTTTTATTTCAATGTTTCTGCAAGATAAAAGTACAAAAAGATAAAATAAGCCGATTGAGTAGTTTGAGTTGATCACTAAGTCATAATCCCTACTTTATGTACACCCAAACTCATAAATGTATGATTACGGTTGTTTGTTTTTCAAACATTATAAATAATTTGTCATAAAATTTAACAACGCAACACTAATTATTTATCATGGGAATCAAATGATAATAATAACTTTTATCAAAGATAATCTTAGGTAAACACTCGTGGAAAAAGAATGTCATAAATCAATTCCGTGGTCCGTGACCGGAAATTTAATTACACATGTATTGTCAGGTGAACTCTTCAATCTATTTAAATCCCTGAGGTCATATTTTGACATATGTAAAATTCAGAATGGAAATGGGGAATGTGTCAAAGAGACAACAACCCGACCAAAGAGCAGAAAACAGCCGAAGGCCACCAATGGGTCTTCAACACAGCGAGAAAAACACGCACCCAGATGCGGGCTTCAGCTGGCCCCTAAATAAAAATGTGTACTTGTTCAATGAAAATGGACATGTATTAGTTTGAGATAAATAATGGAATTTGAATGCTTTTGTTAATCTTCGTTTGAGTCAACCACAATATCTACTCATCGGGAGTTGAAATACATATATTTATATGGAACAAAGTTCAGGATCATGGGAAAACTTCAACTCGTCCAAATTTAGAGTCAACCGAGTTAGAGACAACAAGAGTTAACTGTATTTGGCGTATGGAACGCTTGTAAGGTGTACATGTCTGTCTGGCATGGTTCATCACACCGTGACCTCATTTTCGTAGAACATTGATTATGTTAAGTTTATGCGATACGCGTAGTAAAACCTTAATGTTACAGACTTTCAACATGAAATCAATGCGAAGTAAACAGGTGAGACATTTCAGTATGTGCACTCTTGTTAGATATTTGCAAACTTATCTTTATGTAAAGGGCTATCATTTATTATTATGTTAAGGGGTATAATTTATTTATATATTTCTTAAAGGCTGACAGCAAGGACCAATTTTTTTAAAATTTGATTTCATTAAATGACAAAACAGTTCCAGCAAAAGGTTATGAGTGGGACAAAGGGAGGATAAACAAGAACTATATATTGAATAGTTGTTGCCACTTTTGTTGTTCATTGAAACAGACATTTGGATACATTCTTTAATTGTTTCTTGAAAAAGATTGGGATTTCCAGATCAAAAATCAGAACTAAATTCTATTAGTCTCTGAAACAATTTTATTAAATAGGATGTCAAGGGTCTGAAGTACCCCTATTATTTTCTATAAAAGATTGGTAATATTTAATAATGATGATTCATTCACTCCCCCCCCCCCCCCCCCCCCCCCCCCCAATCATTTTTTACCACACGTAAAAGCAACCAAGGTGATTGTTAAAAATGGAAAACAAACAATTTTGATAATGACTTCTCCCATTATGCTTAATTATAAATGCCTCTAAAAAAATGTATGAAAGTTCAAAAAAGATGACAGACACATAAACTGATGAAAAAACAGCCAGTAAATGATAAAAACAAAAAGATATATAAATAAAACTTTTAATAAGCTTAGAGTTTAATAACAACTACATCATATTCTAAATCTTGCATCATCAATAAAACATAACTTTGGTCCTTTTAAAAGAAAAATATCTCACACGAATCCATCATAATTCATTACAATATCAATAGTCTAAATTTTTATGTGGTTTTTGAAATATAATATATATAGGTTGTTAAAAAATATGAAAATTAACAATTCAAGATTTTAAGCTCAAAGTTAAGGAACTAAAGGTGTCCTACAAACTATTATGGCATGTCCATTGATCCAACAGATACATTGGATTCCACAATAATAATTTAGGATACAAGTGCTTATTTTCATTCAAGAAACACATTATCTTCCTAGCCACAAAATTAAAATGGATATATAGAGAAATCAGACTCTAGAAGGTACAAATTTAGATGACCATATATGTATTGACATGTTTCTGACAAAAAGACAGATATATTGTTACAGTGTTTTAAGAATACAGATAATATTCAAATATCTTGAGTATCATCGCTTAATTTTTCTCAAACATTTTAAAACTTTTACTAATGTAACATCATAACTAGTGACCTGTTCAAATGAATCCAAGCCTTACAATAATACAAATGAATTGCTTTAACTCAACCTTAATATGAAATTATAGATAGATGGTTTAAATTATTCATATCACAGCAAATTTACAACTTAGTTTTCCACATCTGACAGTTATTAGCATGTCAAAAATGGCCTCCCCTTGTCCGGTTTATACCCTTAATATACTATCAATCTCAGCTTATTTTATAGGATCCTCATTTAAATAAATGTGATATGAATACAACATGTAAAAAATCATCAGCACCTGATTATGTTAACTGTTATATACATGTAGAACTGGAGTATTATAACTTATTGCACATGATAAAAGGTTCACATTCATTACACTAATTTGTTCATTATAAATTCTAACAACCTCCACCTTAAATCGTTTGAAATCTAAATCTTTCAGCAGAATAATCCATACTAGTATTCTTATAAAAACTATGATACATATTAAAGCAGTGTATTAAAGCTCTAAAACAAATACAACTTTTATAACAATAATCAGATTCAAATTTCATGAACAACAAACCTGAAAAATTGAAAAATGGAATTTTTTTTCAACACTAACAAAACAAATGAAACAAAAAAATGCAATGAAAAAATACACAACATGATACAATAAGGTAAAATGGGGATTATAACAACATTATCCTGGCATGGCTTTAAAAAAATAATTTCCTTTAAAAATTTCCAAAAGATATTAAGGCTTTATAGGTTTTTACAAAAATGAAAAGCACTACTATCTTGTCAAAAATATACATGAGACAGTATTTGAACAATTTTCTCCTATCCCCCAACTATCAAAGAAAAAAAATTAAAATAGATTTTTAATATAATATTTACTCATTGCATCATGTTCACAAATTATGAAGTAGTTCTAGAGAGGCGAAGGTTACAATTCTTCGTGTGGAAGGAATGCACCATAGTTTGTTGCTTGACTGCCTACAAAGTCTTCGTTATGATCAACAATTTCTTTTTCTGATAGCTTTCCATCTTTATCATCATCAGCTCGGCCAATTAAATGGTCTGATTCCTCTGTTGCTGTTTCCATATTATCTGGTAAAATCCATGGTTTCATCTCCTCTTTGTCTAATTTCCCATCATTATTTTTATCATAATCTGTAAATCTTTCTTTTTCTGTTGCTTCCCATTCTGGATCATCAGCACCCTCTGAATTATAAAGTATGTATTATGAAATATCACCTTATTCAAAATTCTTAAAAGGCGACTTTCCAATTTCAGTTTTATAAATGAACTGCCCTGATTGACCTGTGGTCATATGGGAAAATCATGTCATAGGATATTGTGACGTGAAGATATTTGCTTTGTGAAGTCATTTTTTCCATTATTTAGGAAAATCATTATTTTCATCAGTTTTCATACACAACAAACCAGTTTTTTATCAAAAAATATGACATACAACATATTCTGTCTGAATAAAAAAATTACCTTGTCCAAGAAATTCTTGTAATGAGATAAATCCATCAGTATCTTTATCATAATCTTTCATAGATCTGTCCATTTCAACTTCATGCATATGTTTGAAGTCATACGGGAATTCGAAGGCTACATATTCCTTCTCATTCAGTGCTCCATCTTTGTCTTCATCTGCGGCATTGAACTTTGAATGGTCTTCTTCTACCATCTATAATTGTAAGTTAAATGATGGGTTAACACCTTATTTATTTAAAGTGTATACACAGAGTAAAGTTACAACAAGTTTGCATGTCATTAACGGTAAATTCAGAAATTTTTGCAATGTTTTTATTATTGCGAAAATTGCAACAAGATAAGTTTCTCAAAAATAAAAACTTGCATTTTAAATTCTGGTAGCATTATTTGTACTCAACATTTCCTTAAATCACAATAATTAATTTTGCAATAATAAAAATGAGTGCAGAAATTTCTGAATTTACAGTTGAACATAAACCAGGAAATAAATGAAGCTGTAATCCCAGCAACAAGAATTCATATGGAATATTTTCACAAGTCCCCTTCCTGATAAAATAGTCCCCAATTTAAGATTTTTCTGATTATGGCATGCATCTGAGGTTTTGATGAATGAAACCAATCACAAATTTGAAGAGAACCTGAAAAAAAATATGGTAGTTAACCTGTTGTTAATAATCAATACAATGCAATAGGAATATTTCCAGTAGTTTCCAGCTAAATTGCAAAAGTATTGGACAATAACTCCTGAAAGGAGTCGACTGACGATTTCATTAATGTAACTTATTTTTCAATCTTGACCTGCTGATCAATTTTGGTATTTACAGATTCTCTCTATCTACTATAGTTTCTAAAAACAAGAGTTCACAGGTAGTAATGTCCTGCCTGCTTTACTTATCATGATTGAATTTCATACCATATACCGAATATAGTTAGACTATTGCTTAAAGTATCGGAGAAACAGATCCAATTACATAATTTGAACATTGACCAATGAACCATAAAAATGAGGTTAAAGTCAGATGAACCCTGCCAGACAACATGAACAGCAGGCAATCATTCCATACACTGAATATAGTAAATTATTATACCTCAGTATGTATATTCTTTATAAAATTCTAGACGAATAAATTCACTATTTTTCCCAAAGTGTCTGAAAAAGACTATTAACCTCTTAATAGTTTCAAAAACTATTTACCAGTTAATAGTCTTTTTGCGGGAAATTTTCCCTTACTTTCTGTATCGTTTGAATTGACTCATCTCCAGAAACTTCCACATGATTGTTTATACTGTAACTGTGCTATTTGCGCAGTCAAATTATTATGACGTCAATACAGAATATAATTTCACAGAAATATTTCATTGTCCTCATAGCCAGTAAATTATACTGTATACTATTGCTTATACTTAGAGAAAAGAAATTACTGATTAAGGAACAATAAAAGTGAGGTCATGGTCAGATGAACCCTGCCAGACACACATGTACACCTCACAATCATTCCATACACAAGCTTTAGTTAACCTCTTGCTTATAGTAATTGAATGAAGTCAAGGTCAGATGAAACCTGCCAGACAGACATGTACACCTTCCAATCATTCTATACATCAAACACAGTGGCTCTATGCTTAAAGTATCTGAGAAACAGACCAAACAACAAAAAACTTAACACTGACCAATGAACCATGAAAATTAGGTCAAGGTCAGATGAAACCTGCAAGTCTTACATGTGCACCTAACAATCATTGCACTAAAAACTTAACTTTGACCACTGATCCATTAAATGAGGTCAAGGGCAGGTGAACCCTGGCATGTCTGAAGGACATGGAGACCTTGCAAGGATCCCATATACAAATATAATTATAGAGTATTTCACAAAAAATTTCTAGCAATTGCTGAACCATGAATATGAGGTCAAGGAAATAGTGGATCAAATTTGGCACTTGGATCAATTGCATATTTTAATTTTGCCAAATCAATTTCACCAAAAAAATATTTTTTTAAATTATATAAGATAATAATTTGTTTTGACACCTGGAATGGAACAAAATAATTAAGAATCAGATACAAGCACCATTTTGATAATTATCTGAAAGAAATTATCTTTAAAAAATCAATTAATTGCAATAGTTTGACATTGAACTGAGAGCAGATCTTTCAAACTTACATTTTATTAATTACAGTATATAAAATAATTATTGTTTTGACACCTGAAATGGAACAACTCACTAACCCATCAGAGACAAAAACCATAAAGATAATAATTTGAAAGAATTGATCTAAAAAAATTATTAGTTGCAACAGTTTGACATTAGAACTCAGGATAGCTATAGATCTATTGAAGTTACATTTTGATAATTAAAGTATATTAAATAATTATTGTTTTGACACCTGAAATGGAAAAACTTACTAACACATCAGAGATAAAACTTGCATTGATCGTTTAGACGAAAAAAGTTAAATTCTGACACTTTCTGCTCAGGCAAAAACTTAACCAATACATTGGTGGCCTTCGGCTGTTTTCTGCCCTTTGGTCGGGTTGTTGTCTCTTTGACACATTCCCCATTTCCATTCTCAATTTTATTGTATATGACTACAGCCAAAATATCATAATTTTAGGTATAAAGTTTTTCTCTTCATACTATAGTTAATTAGTATTCACACAATAACACAAAAATTGGCAAAAATAGCCATTAAAGGGCAATAATTCTATAATGAGAAGACACAGGATTTCAGCCGATTTACTTATTTTTAGATCTTGTCCTGCTAATCATTTTTGCTGTTTATAGTTTATCTCAAACTAATACAGTTTCTTCAAAAAATCACAAAATTGGTAAAAGTTTCTTTTAGTGCAATCACTCATATGAGGAGTCAATTGACCATTTCGGTCATGTTGACTTATTTGTAGATCTTCATCCTGCTGATAATTTTTTTCTCTATCTACTATAGTTACTGCAAAAAAAAACACAAAATAAGTAATAAACTGTTAACACAGGATCGCCTTTTTGTTATTTTGATAGTAAAATGCAAATGTTGAAAATAAAATAGCAATACTTAAACATTTAAGTTATACAAAATATTCAAAGTCAATGAACCATGACTGAAGGTACAGGGCCAAACAATCTCCGGTGAAAAGAGATGTGCCTAGGCCAATATAACTGCATACCAAATATCATTGACCTACCACTAGTGGTTCCCCATAAACTGACCTAATCACAAACTAATACATGTAAATTTAGCAAAAGTTTTAAAGTCAATAGACCATGACTGAGGGTGCAGGCCAAATTATCTCCATGGAAATGAGATGTGCCAATGTTATTACAACCATTGTCCTTCCACTAGTGGTTCCCCATAAACTGACCTAATCACAAACTTATACATGTAAACTAAGCAAAAGTTATAAAGCCAGTGGACCATGACTAAGGGTCAAATAATCTTGATCATGGAAATGAGATGTGCCAATGTTGATACAACTGCATACCAAATATCATTAACCTACCATTAGTGCTTCCCCATAAACTGACCAAATCACAAACTAATACATGTAAACTAAACAAATGTTTCAAAGTCAATAGACCGTCACTTAGGGGGCGGGGGCAAATTATCTCTATGGAAACAACATGTGCCAATGTCAATACAACTGCATACCAAAGATCTTTGACCTAACACTAATGGTTCCCCATAAACTGACATAATCACAAACTAATACATTGTTGATGCTGCCACTGCTGCTGCCGCGGCTGGAAACAGCATACCTAGGTCTTGTTCTTTGACTCCGTCAAGGCTAGACAAAATTTGTCATTCAACCACAAAGACTCTTATAAGAAGTCAACTGTCATTCTTTTACTCCTTAAGCAGTCCTCCAATGGTTTCAGTTATATTGGCGTTTTTGTACATCTTGTATTGCTGATCACTTTTGCTGTAAAAACCTAATTAAACTCTTCCACAGAAATTCACTAGATGAAAAGAATTTCTGAAGTTTTCAAATGTTTATAAAAGTTTTGAAGTCAGTTTGCAAAGATAGTGCACCCTTTGTAGATAATCACATTGTCAATCATGGTTTCAGTACCATATTATATTACAAGAATAAACAAGGAGAAATAATCTTAAAACTACATTTGTAATTGATGTATACAGGAAACTCTTCTTAGATGGCAGTTTACATTATCATTCAATTTCCTTTTAACAACATTTGTCTTTACTTTATGTTCCTAATTAACTTTCATCTACTTGACTACATTTATTGAAAGAAGTCACATGATTAAACAGCTAATTCTTTCTCTCACCATTTACAATAGTGACTAGAACTTTGTCAGAACTGATATTCAATGAATTCAAGTCTGCTTCTTTGTATTTTTTAATGTCGATGAAACAGAAACTTTACAACACAAGACATAAAAACGAATGTATATAGGTCAAAAGATGCTGTTACATATTATTTATTAGAAACCTTAAACCTTAATAATTCAGCATTTTCCTATTCTGCTAAAAAGTTCTTTTCTTGATCTTCAACTTAACACTTAGGTCAAAAAAAAGAAAAGTGTTTGCTTTTATTTTCATGAGAAAAATAAAGTGCTTTGTGTCTTTCTTATGTTAGTTTTTTTTCTCTCTACCAATCTATTCGATTAAGACAATTGCAACTGACTTTAAGGGTTTGTTCTTATGTTCTGCTGTCCCACCCTTGTCCCAGTTAAGGGGAGGATTGAGCGCTCACAGACATAATTCAACCGCCACATTCTTTACATGCCTGGTATTCAGTAGATGTTGTTGATTTATGTTTGTCATATTCGTTACATCCACGTTATTTGAACTCTGGTGGGTAGTCGTCTCATTGGCAATCACACCACATCTCCTTATACATGTATTCATATAGAAAGGGTGTGTTTTTTTGGGGTTTTTTTTATCAATTCTTTTAACTTCAACTTATGAGGAGACCAGCCATTTTGTCCCAATTTCCATCAAAAGTTCAAATAAAAACATTAGGGTAAGCGTTTTAAGACATAAAAAAGGGTAGGCAGCAACCCTTAACATAAAAAGTCATGTATATTTTGTCCGTATTCTATGTGTGAACAAATATATAGATGTAATCCTTTGAGAAAAAGTAATGTATTCTACTTTCATTTCTTATGACTGAGCAATTTAACAGTTAAAACTGAAACTTGTCATAATTTCCAACATGCATCAATAATAAATATATTTAGAAAGGGAAAAAACATGCATAATATCTGCATAATATTCTTTTCATTCAGATATAAAAATAATAAAAGTAAACAAAAACAACCAACGAACTAAAGAGCAAAGTAAAAACTGTAAACTGCCACCAAAGGATATAAAATCCATATAAACAAAGAGTTGTCCTGTATACTGACCTTTTTTACCTTGTTGAAGTCTTCCAGATCTTCTTGGTCTCTGTGCTTAAAATCTTCCATATCTTCTGGATTATAACCATACTGTTTACTAATGTACTCTTTCCATGTCACCTTCCCATCTTTGTCAGTATCATGTTCTTTTAACTGTTCTAAAGAATCTTCTTCGTCCAGTTTTCTAAAAGGTAATCAGACAAAAATACAAAGCAATTTAGATTAAGGTTTTGCAACAGTAACTATACTGAGTAAGAAAAGTTTTTCTATTAAAAAACTTTTAATTAAAAATTCACGAAATTGTGGAAATCAATTTTATAATCATGTTTTTGTCGAACATATTGCACCTTATGATTTATGTTCTTTGTTACAATAATTTAATGATCAAATTTGAACCAGTAACAAGTAAAATCAAAATGTCTCAAAATAAACAATGATAAAACAAAATGTTAAATCTTTCATACTTTTTTAAAAACAAATTTCATATTACAGTTAATCTGTGTAATAAAAATATAAGTAACATGTTTTTTTTTAAAAGGTTAATCATTAATGGCATCAAGCATTCTTTTTTTTAATTTTTAGTAAGGATAAAGAAACCTATAGGGATAACACCCATAACATATCTTCTCCATTGTAGTATTACAGAAAAATAGACTGTGATAAACACTGATCTCTCATGGACATTTTTTGCCAGTATTTAAAACCATTCAAATATGTAGAAATACTGAGTTTTAACAAATAAAAGAAGCAAATTTAACATTTTGAAAGTAAGACTAACTGAAAAGATGAAAGAATCCACTGTGTTAGTTCCTCTGCTGTTACAAATCCATCACCATTTACATCCATCTTCTTTACCAATAATGCCAATCGTCTTTTTGATTCCTCTGGACTCAAATCATCAAACTCTTCTTCTAATTTTTTAGACCCTATTACAAGGCAAAAATATTGTTAACTATAAGATTTGTTGTTTTGCAAACAATTTACACTGATGGTGTAGTATAATATAGGACATAACATGTGTATCGCTTAAGTTCAAGTTACAGTAAATGGGCTATGTCACAGATTTTGGTAAAATTTTGCATACAACTTTCCTCGTTGAAACTTCAACTGAAAATCAAAAAAAAAAATAAGAAGGTAGCAATTTTCTTTCAGCCAGAAACAAACACTGATGTGCATGTAACTGGGAAATTTGACAAAAAATGTGCTAATGTTACATGCATCTGTTAAGTCCTATCAGATGAACTAAAGAAACACTTGTTGTTTTTGCTTGTTTATCTGTTATTTTTTCAGAGGAGTTCCATGTGCATACCTAGTGGGGGTTATTCCAGAAACATGAGATATACCTATGGAATTATTTAAAAGGTTTCTTTATCAAAATCCTCCCCTTTATCAACTAATGTTTTGAGTTCAGGCATGCTGAGCACCAATAGCTAATTACTGAAGTTTTATTTAGGATTGTGTTCAGACCAGTGTTATCTATATGAAATTAAGAATATACCTAATACTGCCTCATGGTCATAATGGGAATTGTGTTCGCCATCTTTATCGACATGATCATGGTGCATGTGGCTGGGTGGTTTGTGTCCTGCTCCATGCTTGTCTGTTTCTTTCTCACCACAAGCAAGGCCAACAGCTAACACTAGCAATAAAAATGTGAAATCCATTTCTGAAAACAAAAAGAAAGACATTGTTAAAAACATTTGATATATATGTATATACATGTGTTTTAAATCTTAACTGTTTCCTCAGCTGTAAATTAAAGTGGATTTAGGGAACAATATTATATATGTAACACTCAGAAATGTGTCCATCCCCCCAAACGTGTCCGATTCCCCCAAACGTGTCCATATGACGTCGCTGAACTGCAAAACATGTCTAGTTGCTAAAGGGCGCCAAAACGTGTTCTGTTTATAAGCGCCCAGTTGTGTCCATTTAATTAAAAAAAAGGCCAAACGTGTCCGGTTTATATGAAACCGTAAAGTCTCACTTTTAAAAGCACACAAACCTCTTTTGCATGAAGCAGGTCGTACAATACCCTCATACATTATATAGCCATTTAGGTATCATCGAAGAATATTAGTACAATAGAATCCACTAAGTAAACAATTATTAAAACTGTACAAAACTAATAAATTGCAATGTTTATGTTTTTTTTAAATACGCATGACATATTTGCCACTGGACATTAAGCAATCAACATTCAATAGTTCATTAGGTGTTGCAAATTTAGCTTTCATACTTAATAAAAAATAACCGGCGTTGAACAAATTAATGCTAATAAGTTTCCACTTTATTAACAGTGAAGCACCGTGAAAATTTACAAGATAAAATATATTAAATTTTTATTTTTGAAATACCTCTATCTGAACTTTATATAAAACATTATTAAAACCGCTGCAAGTAAAAATAACTATTTATTGTGGGATTCTTTTTTAACCTGGTGTCTATTTTTTTGAAAGCAGAAGTCACTGTGCAGTGAAGCATGTCTTGAACATTTGTCTATACGGCTTACTAAACTTTCCTCCAGATTTCTTTGGGTAGCTACTTTGATTTTTAAGAATTCAACCGAACCCGACGTCTTTTATCGTATCCCACGCCATATAATTGCCGTAAACGTTTTTGACTTCAAAGAGTTATATTGGCGCTAAAAGTTTTGAGACGTTGTGGCGTTTTCATCTGGACACGTTTTGGCGAATAACAATTATCGGACACGTTTGGGCGATTTATGATTTGAAGGACACGTTTGGGCGGAATAGACACGTTTGGGGGTATCGGACACGTTTGGGGGTATCGGACACGTTTGGGGGGATGGACACGTTTGGGAGTGTTACATATATACACATGACATTTAGATAAATGACACCATTTTAGCTATTAACAGTATCATCTGAGGTCCAGGATTCAAGAAATACTTCAGAAAATTAAGTCTTTAGATATGTCACCCTCATAAATAATAATTATTTTATATTCATAACATGTACGGGTATATTTAGATTTAACTTCCTTCTATAAATGAGGAAACAGTGTCATGAGAGATGTCTGCCATTGTATAGCTGCTAGCAATTACAATTTACAAAATTTCTTGATTCCTGATAGAATTCAACATGTCCTTGTTATATAATTAGCATGCATATATGTCTTTGTTGATATGATATGAACTAAATGATTAATACCCATTCAATAGTATACAGCATTAACATTAACCATTTCCCAAAAAATGGTAAAATTGATGTCACATTGGGAAACCTGAATAATTCATTCATTATATTCCACTGAATTCCTATTACTTCATTAACGCCTGAATGCATAGACAATGAAAAATCTTCAATCAATTATTCGGAATAGCTTGGGATTTACCTATCTCAATAAAATTGAGATGATTGCTGAATTTGGTCACCTCTTCTACAGGGCACCAATCGCAATCCAGGATTCATGAAGAGTTTTTATTGTGTTAGGAAGTCAGGCCCTCACAAGTAGGAGAGATAGATTACGGGGAGGGACTGAATTATTTGGGTTAGACAGTACAAGTCAGTTAGAAATCAATGTCTTTTTCACAAGAATGTGTATCACTATCGAAGAAAAACGTCTTGAGCAGCACATTCAGAGTCTCTATCCCAATTTTCAAAGGGAACATGATAAAGATTATTATACATACTTTCTGAATTTTGGTAAATAAGGCTATAATTAGATATGATGTAAGCAAATATCACACAAGAGGCTGTCGAGTGACAGCAAAACGGTATTTTCCTACAGAGGTCCAACCCTGAACAGTTGAGCAAGTATGGACACAACATTTAAGCTGAAAACAGCTCTGAATTTGGATTGTGATTGAATATTTATAATAGATTATTATCTAATTAATAATGAAAATGATATTTGCAAATCTGAACCCCAAACAGGATCATGTAAAAATTAAACATTAACACACACAACAAAAATAAAATACCACACAACAACTGTGACATCTACCTTCATAACACACATGACTTAAAAAAATAGTTATAAAGAAATTTTGATGTTATCATTACTGGTTCATGGAATAAGTTTGAGTTATTTCCCTTTGAACAGAAATATGGTTTAACATAGATATGATTTCAATAAAAATAGTTCTCTAAAATTAGATATGATGTAACACAATGTATATCTATTTTAAAATTATAATCAAATATATTAATATGTCCAAATATTTTTTCTTTCATTTGTCACAAACTAATATAGATCTGCAACTTATCTATCAACTTTATCTACACAATGTAATGTAATGAAATATATCCTTTAATTAAAATAGATTATTATCTAATTAAAGAAGTTCACTTCATAAAAAAAAATTATATATATAGCATTCAGAAAATTAGTTTATACAGAATAACAAACAAACCTACCACAAAATTATTCAAACAATTTACCAAAGAAAAGAAAAAAAAAATCCAAAATATCATTTATCATTTATACAATGTCTTTTAAAAATCTTTTAAAAAATAAGTTATTTCCCTTTGTACAGAAATGGATTAATTCATCAAAAACTGAATTCTTGGGAAAGGGCTATAACTGAACAAATGGAGAAAAGCTAAAATCATGAAAATTGAACTTGACCTTCAATTAGTCACAGGAAACAACATATCTAAATTTGAAAAATTTTCTTCAAAGCATTTTTATGTAAATGAATGGACACTGTTTGACAGACACCCACCCGCCAGCCCACCCACCCGCCCGCCGTATATCCCCAAATCAATAACCAATGTTTACTTCGAAAATCCGGTTAAAAATGATATCCCTTTAGTTCTATATACAATAATCCTCTATCAAAATATTCTAATAGGAAACACACATGTTTGAATATCTAATCAACTAATAGATCTATGTATTTTATACTTCATATACAGGTGCTGTTAAATTAAAAGCCATCTCTTTGTCTTAAATTTAGTTCTCAATTGATTCTTGCTGTCAATTTTTCAGTGCAAGTCAGGTAGGCAGATCCTGGTGTATCTGTGGTAATCTTTATTTCAAGATCAATGGAATATAAGCCATCAATACTGATCAATGAAATATAAGCCATCAACACTGATCAATGGAATATAAGCCATCAACACTGATCAATGGAATATAAGCCATCAACACTGATCAATGGAATATAAGCCATCAATACTGATTAATGAAAGGATATTAGTATTCTTATCTCTCCTAACTTTACAAGATCTTACTTTTGAAGAAATTGATCTCTCTGATACAAATGATGCAAATATTTTAGTACACAAACTTCCTAAAGTTCTGTCAAAGGGAATAATTAACATTAAAAAGTTGCTAACTGTTCAGCTTTTATTTCCTACAAAGACCTAATAAACTGCTTCACTGAGCGCAGCTGGATACGCCCTCAGAGGTCCAACCCTGAATCATGTGAATAGTTGGGGCAAAAATGGACACAATATTCAAGCTTGATACAGGTCTGAATTTGGATTGTAATGAAATATTTGATATGTTATAGGTTTCTGAATAAATGTAGTCAAAGAACTAGAAATTGGTTATATGAAAGATTTCTTGCTGTTGTGCAATACAATGTGCTGTAGCGTAATACTTAGTAAATCTGTTGTCACATCTTCCTATATCAGACTATAAACAAATAAATCTTATAATTCAGAAATATAAAATCAAAATTTATAATAATCAAGCTTACAAAAATAGATATAAACAATTTACCAAAGTTTCATAAAAAATGCTGAAAGCATTTTCACATTGTCGTCCGAAAACTGGAAAATCCCCCTTTTTGTAACGAATAAAACCCCATAAAAATCAGAAACGTATAGTCTGAAATTTATAAAAATCAAAAGGGAGCTCATGTTGATAGAAATAAACAATTCACCAAAGTTTCTTTCAAATTGGTAAAATTGTTTTTGAGTTATTGTCTGAAAACTGGAAAATCCCCCCTTTTTTAATGAATAAAACCCCAAAACTCAGAAAACGTAAATCCGACATTTATAAAAAACGAAAGGGAGCTCACATCAATAGATATGAACAATTCACAAAAGTTTCTTGCAAAATTGGTGAAATATTTTTAGAGTTATTTTCCGAAAACTGGAAAATCCCTCCTTTTTTAATGAATAAAACCCCAAAACTCGGAAACGGTAAATCCCAAATTTATAAAAAACGAAAGGGAGCTCATGTCAATAGATATGAACAATTCACAAAAGTTTCATGCAAATTGGTGAAATTGTTTTTGAGTTATTGTCCAAAAACTGGAAAATCCCCCCTTTTTTAATGACTAAAACCCCAAAACCGGGAAATGATAAATCTGAAATTTATAAAAAATGAAAGGGAGCTCACGTCAATAGATATAAACAATTCACCAAAGTTTCATGCATATTGGTTTAAGCTTTTTTGAATAAATGTCTGACATGTTGACGACGGACGGACGGTCAACGGTATACCATAATACATCCCGTAAACGGGCGTATAAAAATTGAACTTCTGTGGCCTGATGTATTGATGAACAAATAAATACATATTTATGATATTTTTTGATTGATCACTTATCATTTTATCCATAAATATCAATTCAAACAAAATAGCCACAAACTTGAATGATTACTAACTTGCGAAATATAAATTTTAATTTTAAGTTTTTACAGGACCACTTGGAGAAAAAGATTCCAGAAGCACAGTGAGTGCATA